GATAGGCCTTTATATTATTCAGGCATTATTAAATCCAGCATCAKTAAAATCACCCTGTCTCTACTCACATAAAAAGATGTTTAAAAATATTTTCGGGGACATGAATCAAACAGAGAAATCCTCTCCCTACATTAAAGACTGTCAGCACATCATCTAGTCTCCTGAGGAGCTAAAAACAACCACAGAGATGAAATGCAGTCTTCTTTTAAACATTAGATTAAATGTAAAGTAAACTGGATTTTCACTGCCTCGGATTGGAGGGTTGATCTGTGTACAGTGGAGAAGATGGGGAGTTGTGGGACTGTATCTGTGCATGTGTGCACATGTCGAAATGACTGGCAGGATTTGCAATGAGAAGCGTGCTCTTTGGGGAAATGACATCATTAAAACAGTGCAGCTGAGTCCGCTGAAATGGCTAAATTAGCCAACAGTGGATGCTGGGTCATCTTCGATGTGATGCAACACACTGGTCATTCCTTGCAACGTGATGCCACTGCTATAACGAGCTAAAATTATGACATTTTTCCCATTTAAGTATAGGTATGTTTTAACACAAAAAAATGGGTGAGTATATATTTTGTGGAAATAGTATACTCCTCATCCACATGTCAGGATTTTAAGAACAGCAGAAGCATTAAAACAATAAATGGATAATTTTCTGCTCATTGTAGCAAGGTAAGTGTAGCTGCTGTAAAACCTCTAAAACATGCAGGATAGCGGCCCTCGAGGACTGGAGTTTGACACCCCTGCTCTAAGAGGTCCTGAGTCTATCATTTCCAAAGGGGCAGGGGTTCTCAAATTTTATATTAAATAATCCAAATTAGATTTCTAGATAAGATTAAAAGTCCAAAAGAATATACAAATCATTTTTAAAACCTGTTTACAATGTGTAACCACAGTTGTTTGCCTGCATTTTTTGGAGTGAGTCAGTTTGACAGGAAAGCTCAATGCATCAATTTAATAAGAAAGGTGAAACACCTAATTACTCATTATGCCTGATCGGCAATCAATTTATGTTCTCATGCAAGAAAAAAAAACATTGAAAAAACCTAAACTTAAAGGTAACAAAGCTCCATAACATCAAAATGATAAGGGGCAAAGCTTAAGTTAAATGTGAAGTAGCCTGGTGTGAAAAATCTCCCCGTCTGCCTTCAATGAGCTGTTAAACCTCAACACAACAAATGTTGCTGTTAAATGCAGCAGAGGTATATAAAATACTTAAAATAAGTAACTTAGTCAAAGTAAAAATACCTTAACAAAAACTACTTTGGTAAAAAAATTAAAAAATCACTGATAAAAAGAGTAAGAAACTCCTAAAACTTCTCACACTAATCAGAAAAGTAAAAGTACTTTTACACACTCTAAGAAATGAAGTGTTGAATTTATTTAACCAAACTGGTTCCACTAAATCGAGTTGAGTAAGTTGTTGAGCACCAACCCTGAGTACTTACTGAGTTAGAACTTAAACATTACACAATGACTTTAAAACACCTTTTTTTTATTTAAAACAAGGCAGCTGGTAAAGGTACCGATACATTATTGGTACTTTAAGAAAACTTATACTAATTTTTTGTAGTTCTCAACAACTAGTGGGATCCCGATAACGATTTTGGTATTGGGACACCACTTGTTGCAAAGTATTAAAGAAAGACTTGCCAAACGAGCCTCGTACCTGGGCGGGAGGCAAACAACATTATGTGCTTGTGAGCTCTCTTTTCAATGCCAGCCAGTATTTTTTTATTGTTTATCTGTATTTTTAAACAGAGCTGCTAATGTGAGTCATGCATAAGGTTTCCAAAATAATCTATGTATCTTCTGTTAAAAGACCTGGCAAATCTATAAATGGTGTCCCAAGCTAGATGTATAAAATTCWGTTGAAAGCATGAATGGTGATTAAAGCTCTATGAGGTGACCTGACCAGCACTGACTGTGTTGCTGGTAATATTATAACAAACTGCAGAAAAATGAGAGACAGTGAGCTCACGTTAATCCTCTGCTAATCTGACCTCTAAAAGTGTGAAAGCTTGTTGTTTTTATTGTTCGTTTCAATGATCAACAGGCTAACAATGAAACTCAGTTTTGCAACAAAGTACTAGCAACATTTTTTTTATTCTTACACCTCTATTAACCATCTATCTTCTGTTAAAAATATAAACACTATTGTGCTGAAAATAAAAATTATGTTGACCTTTTAGGATTTGCCATGTCCTAGACATCTGAATATTTACACCAACACTAAGGCTTAAAAAGCTTATAGTGACCACAAAAATGGCAAAAAAAATAATTAAAAAGATGCCAGTGTATGGTCTCCTAACGTCCCATTTCACTGTAAAACCCACATACATTGCATGCTAAACTGTTATTTTATCATTGTCAGTGGTCTGATCTGACACTATTGATCAACTCCAGTCAAATATATGTACAAAATGTGAAAAAAACAAAAAAAAACATTTAGTATTAGCTTCTTTTTTAGAATAATGTGCTTTAGAAAATGGTTAATATCAGACTATTGTATTATTTTTGGTAGAACCTATTGAAGGCAGAGGTTTTAATGTCTGAAGCTACCACTGAGCTTTACATTTAATTGCTTTAATATTTTAATGGCGTTGAGGATTGCGCTGGTTTCCACTCCCACATGCTTTAGAAATTATAGCAGTGCAGACACAGAGCGTGTAATTTTCAAAGATGGGTTATCAAGATCAGTGTGGGTTCAAAGGCCCAAAGACTGAATGGATAAAAGCTCCATSATGGTTTCCGTGGCCACATGTTCAAAGCCATTGAAACCTTGCCAACACCCACCACCATGCTTGTACTCATACTTTTTTGGGGATCAGTTGTGCCATGGTGTTGGACTCACAGAGCTTACAGTATCACACTCCAGTGCGACAGGGGGCAAAACTGTTGCTTCTTCTGTTGACTAGCTGAAAGAGAAGAAGTTGAGTAAAGTCTTTGAATTAGCAATAAATAACTGTTAATGTTTGCTAGCATAACCTTTATCCTGTGTTCAACAAAAGAGTATTTGACTCAGTGTCTGTGTACTGGAAAGTTACTGAGATGCCTAACTGGAAAACTATTTACCTTTCTATAATGGAAAGGTACAAAGCTGTTTGTGTTTCACTGTAACATGAAAGAAACAGGTTGCTTTCTTCATGTAAACTTTGCACTAAAAAGGCAGGAAGARCTTATCAAGTCATCTAGAAACAGTTTTGGGGTACCTGTTGCTTACAGTTGAAACTCAGCTTTGCCTCTTTTGTTAAAGAAAAAGTCACAGATGATCTGCTATAAGAGCAGGAGGTAAACTGTACATAGATTGGTATTCAATTTATGTCGGCCACTGTTGGTGTCTTCCTGCTATAACAGGTTAAACTTCTTACTCTTATTTTTTTATCTAAATTATTGTTTTCCATGACAATCTTCTCATATTGATTTGACAGCATRATGTATTTTCTAGTATATTTGGGTATATTTTTGTATCACGGTCACTTCCACATGTTAGGGTAAGAGTAATTAAAGTAATCTAACTAACTGTTAGATTTGTCTGCAGTGATGTAAAAACATTAGAAAACATCAGCCAGATCATTGATGTTTTTTTCAGAGTCCTGGTAAAGTTTGCAATTGGTTCCTATACACAGTAAAAAATGAAGTGTAATTTTAACACCTACAGAGTTGAATTTAACTCTGTTCCATATAATATTTGGTCCCACTCAAAATTAGTGTAAAATGTACTCTGTAGCCAGTGTAAACTTTTCAGAGTTTATTTTACTCATTTTAGTGTCATAATCAACAATGAATTGAGTAAAATTATTTAACACTATAGCTCGTTGACACTCTATAGAGTAATATTGTTATTTTTCATGGAGTTAACTTTACACTAGACTCTATTTAAAAGGTACACTTTATTGTGTAATACTAACATTATTTTATGTTTTCCTTTTACACAGTGTGAATCAGAGTACACAGARTTCGGCWCTCTATCTTAAGAGTTTAAAACAACTCTTGAAGTGTTTCATTAACAGATGTCAGTAGTTGGCAAATCAGCACAAAATTGTACCTCTCACTCATGGTGTCGACTTATGGCAAAAAACACAAAACTTAAACTTGAAAAACTAAACAACCTGAACAAGAAAACTAACCAGAAAAACAAATTTTTACACTCATGAACATTTTTAATAATCTTAGACATGCAAACACATAATTTCTACAAGATTACCCAGCATTCCTTGCTGAGAAAATTCTGGTCCATGAGGAAGAGGGCGGGGCTTTTCAGAATTCTTCTTTCAACACTGCATTGTGTTCTATAATGACACTGTTACGTGTTAATCAAGACTTAACAGTGGGYGGAGCTTATTTAACACTGTCCAGAGTTRAGACARCACTGATGAAATCAACTCTGTGAATTAACACCAACACTGGATGTCAGTTTACTCAGAAAGTGTTAAAATAACACTTGGGGAGCTGAAATTAACTCTTATAAGTTTAACACTGCAAATTTAACACTCAGTTTATTACTGTGTAATTACTCATGATAAAACATGATAGCTTCATAATGGTTCTGAGCATCCTTCTATAGCAGGACTGTGGGAATTATCATTATGTCAGCAGTAAACCGGGGTGCAACATATAGATGTAACCATGGTGTGGGATTCACTCACATCAGTGATGTTTTTTTTTTTTTTTTTTTTTTTTTTTTTGACAGAATCTGAAGCAGAACTTGCCACACTGGCCTAGTAGAAGCTGAGCTTCATCTGAGATTGTATCAGTCTATTTCATACTTAATATAGTGGTAGGGCATTGTGTGCTGTGAAGTAGAATTCAGCTGCATCCTGACATATGTACGTACTCCAAGAGAGTCATACCAGGACATTTTGTCTGAAGTGTGATAGCTCATGCTGAGAAAGGAGCCTAAGCAGCAAAGATTATCATCGTGGTTTTTACAAACACCTGCAAAGTATTGACATGTCAAAGCTTGAATGTGACTGATTATACTTTATGTCCCTCAGGTGTTCTTCAGCGGAGGATGGCAGGAGATTCCCGTGTCCTCATGGACCACAACATGGAGACAGGAGTAACGCCTGCACAGGTGAACTACAGAAGCACCACATCCTCCTTGGTTAAGAGATGGGAAACTAAAAAAAACTGATTTTTAAATGTCAGTAGGGATCATTGAGAGAGAAAATGACGACTTACATGCAGGATTTTAAGAAATGTTGGCAGTGTGACAGGTGCGCTACAAGACTTCAAAGATAAAGCAAGGCCATTTATAGAAGACAAGATGTGACTACATCTCTTTTAGTACTTAAGTACATAACTGAGTTTTCTTGGCATCAATAATAAAGGAAAATACATTCAACTTTTTCCTTTAACAGATTGTGAAACTGTGCTTGTTTTCTGTACTGATTTCCAAGCTGACTGGAACTTTTAGTGCCTACTCAAGCTTGACTAGAAAGGCTCAATGACAAGAAAAAGAAGGAAAAAGCTACTAATTACGAATGCCGTGCAGAGACAGCTAATTAATGTGTGTATGGATCGTCACTCCCAGGTTATATATTGACTGCAAAAGCAGTACTGCTGGAGACAGCTATACTTCTACAACTCAATTAGACTAAGTGATAAAATAAATGGGTTTAGTTCTGGTTTGATTAATTTGATACAATTAAAAAATAGTTGCAATTATATTAATCAGAATTAAAAGTGGTGGGCTGACAGTGCTTTGAGTCTAATATATTTGATTTAAAGTTCCCCTCAGTATTTAAGAAGGTAATTGACGCATTCAGTGTCTTTCATTTCTCGTGCTCAAAATATTTGTTTTAGTAATGATTAATTAATTCAGTATGCATCAAATCAATACGCTGCTTCTAACTTAATGCAATTCTTATGTTCAGGAAAGAAGTGAACATTCAGCYTACTTTTGCAATCATTAATGAACTCCTCTTGCAGATTTGGTTTTTGAGGCTCCACATAAAACACACTGGAATAACACTGTTGACTTAGATTGTATTTTTTTGTTTTTTGTAGGCTAAACTGTGAGAACGACGATCTTTGTGATTCAGCCAGTGTACAGTAAGCACAAGTGAAAGGAACTTTCCTGGCAGAGCACAACTCTGGAGAGTATCGTGTCAATTAGCAGCTAAAGTCTTTGACAGTCATTGGGGAAACTTATCGACCGAGTTCGGAAATGTCAGTGTGTTGCTGAAATGTCCTTGGGCACTTTTAAAGATCCTAATATTGTTATGTTTGTGTTGTGTTTGCGCCTGTTTAAGTATAGAACCAAAATGCTAAACCAGTTTGTTAGTTGAGAGCAGTGGCGGATGCTGGTCTTTCAAGAAAAGGAAGCTCAATTTCGGCCTACATAATAAAATGTGTGGGTTATAAATTCTACCCTCCGTTCCTTTTCAAGAAATTTTTTTAGTTTATAATATTTATTCATTTCATTTTAAAAAACAAAACAAATAAAATAAAATGAAAGGTAGCAGAAGAAGATAAAGGTCTTGATATCTGCTCCTATTTACAAAAAAATTATTAATTTCAAACAATAAACCAAATAATAAAACAAAACAAAAAATTCAACTCCTCAAACAGTGACTCATACAAATACAAATTAAACAATTTCATATTTCTTTGACAATTTTGCTTTGATCATTTTTTAAGGAATTAATTGATCCAATGCTTTTATAATCATTTTCCAGATTATTCTATAGTTTTTTTTACAGCAGCCAGCTCACTTTGTCATACCAGGACAGCTGAAAAAACCTGTTATTTCCCCACTGTGGGATCAATAAAAAGTTTTTTTAATCTTACTTTTCCCCAACTTTTGCACCAAATTAATCTGAGGAGTTGATCAGCCCTGCTGTTTAACTCTGTTTTACTTCATAAGGAAGACTTTCATGATGGCTTCACCAAAATCCGGTCCAATACATTCAAACTGTCCACCATTATGTGCAGCTTGCTACCTAGCTAGCTGGGACTGGCATGAGGCCAGAGTAAAGTATGTCCGCCTGAGTGCTTTGTGACGGTGAAGGGGCTCAGCAGCCCCCGCTGGACAGAAGAAGTCAGAAAGAGTGATAGAGGTCTGTCTCCAAACACAAGCAGATACAAAACAACCACCAGAAATAGAAGCTCAATTTGTCGCTAGTCATTTTTAAGAAAGAAAATGTCGCTAAAGGGATTAATAAAGTCTCCGTTTCAACTCAGAACAGAAACATAAGTAAAAAATACTCCCACATAATGTTTACACCAAAAGATCGCTGATTCGCTCATTTTGCTGTCAATCAAAAAGGGATTCAGCCTCCGACAGATCATCCAATCATCATGCAGAAGCTGAGCATCCGGGCCAACCAAGGCCAGCCCCCTGCCCCATAGACCCCCAGAGACGCTGAGCGTCTGATGGGCGGGACAAAACCAGCATTTATCCAATGACTCGTCTTGTTTCGCTGCAGTCTTTGCATCATTAATGAGCTCTGTGGAAGCTCAGCGTCCGCACTGTTTAAAGCACTGTGAAGCTACGGGAATGAGGGAGAGGAAAGTTGTGTCGTTATCAGTGATAAGAAGCTGATTCTGAACAAAAGTTGAGCGCGTTGTAGAACATATTTAGTCAATGATGTGTACTCACAACATTATATATTTGATCTTTTTTTTTTTTTTTTGCATTTTGTGGGAAGCTGAGTTTCCCTTGCAGTCTTAGAGCAATCACCTCTGGTTGAGAGGGTTTGGCTATACTTATTAAAAAATACACAAAATAGTCCATTCCGTAATCCATTTAGGTACATAAAGCTATGCAAAGGTGGTCACCAAAGGCATTCTGCTTGTTTGAAGGATAGCATGGAAGTCTTACAGGTAAAGTCAGTATCTCTGCCCTTAGCGTGTGAGAGGAAGGAGCACAGGGAACAGGGAAGAGACAGGACATAGCTGTGGAGCCAGATCACCTTACTGGATGAGGGCCAACACAGACAAAGACCTTGGCGTGTGTGTGTTCTTGTTGCGTCCTTACTCCATTTCTTTTCTGTCCCTGTCATATATACGCATAAACTGGCATCTGCTATATAAGGGCTGAGCAGCACAGAGAGATGACTTTATAGCTGCTTTTGATTGCATTTGATTCCATTCTAGTAGCCTTTATACCAGCCAGTGTGGATTCTGATAAAGGCTGAAAGAAAATTGCATAAAACAGGTTAACATCTTTCTCCGTCAGTACAAATAGACCGTAGAAGAGAAGAAAATGTTTACTGAAAGAAATAAGTGCAGAGAAAATATCTTTTTCCTTTCCTTCTGTCTGTTTGAGTTTACCTTTTTTTCTCGTCTTTTGTTTTTTTCTCTTTTTTCGTTTCGACCTAGGTGAAAAAGCTCCCTAAACATCTGAGGGAAGCTCAGATATCAACCGAGAGAACCCACTTGATTTCCGAACCAGTAAGAAAGCCCCGGCAGCGGTAYGTGCAAAAGGACGGCAAGTGCAACGTTCACCATGGAAATGTGCAAGAGACCTACCGATACCTCAGTGACTTGTTCACTACACTGGTGGATCTACGGTGGCGTTTTAGTCTTTTAATTTTCACACTGGTCTATGTAATCAACTGGCTTTTCTTTGGATTTCTCTGGTGGCTGATTGCACTTATCCGTGGAGATCTAGTGCACGCTGATGAAGAGGGCTGGACCCCTTGTGTTGAGAACCTGAACAGTTTTGTCTCTGCTTTCCTCTTCTCCATCGAGACGGAGACCACCATTGGGTATGGCTATCGTGTAATCACAGAACGATGCCCCGAAGGCATTATATTACTTTTGGTGCAGGCCATCTTGGGCTCCATAGTCAACGCCATCATGGTGGGCTGCATGTTTGTCAAGATTTCACAGCCAAAGAATCGCGCGGAGACGCTAATGTTCTCGCATAATGCCGTCATATCCGTGCGAGACAACAAGATGTGCCTGATGTTTCGGGTGGGAGACCTGAGGAACTCTCACATCGTGGAGGCATCGATCAGAGCGAAGCTAATTCGCTCACAGCAGACCAAAGAGGGGGAGTTCATCCCTCTCAATCAGACTGACATCAACATCGGCTTCGACACGGGGGACGACCGGCTGTTCTTGGTGTCGCCACTCATCATCTCACATGAGATCAACGAGAAGAGTCCCTTCTGGGAAATGTCAATGGCACAAATGGAGAAGGAGGAGTTCGAGATTGTGGTCATCCTTGAGGGCATGGTGGAGGCTACAGGTATGAAGGGTGGTGTGAGGGACGTGTGTATCAAAAGCAAGGGAAAAGGGAGTGATTTTTTTTTTTATTCATCAGTGATAAATAGGTAGAGTAAGAATTGACAAAGATTTGAATAAATGGCTAGAATTGCAAATGTTGCTAAATAATGGGGTAACTGTGAGTTCAGCAGACTGAAATGTTGCACTTTATGAAATGAAGAACTTAACTGACTCGTAAGTGAGGCATAAATGATATAAATGTATTTCAATTCAAAGGTAATTCAAATTCTAATGAGGATTTATAGTTTAATAAGCTGGCCGTTTTTATGACTAAGATGGTGCTGATTCCTCTCATTAAAATTCCAGGTGTGATTCAGTCTCTATCTGCACTTGATTTTTTCAAGTATTCCTCTAAACGAACCAAATGACATAAATTCACAAACTCCTTGCAAAGGTTTCCATGTGTTCACTGCAGCCCTCATCTCCATTGTTGCTATTTCAGGGTGATGTCTTTGTATTGTTTATTTCCAAATGAGTGAAGTGTGGCTGCCCACACTAGTAGTTTTTGTTTGGGGGTAAATTCTCAGCTTCAGGCTKGTTACATTTACAAGGCAAACAAGAACATATATGCTGCTGTTGTCAGGGGAGGGCTTAAATGCAGCACTAAACAAACAAAAGGACTGAGCGACATTACAGTGCAAAAGTATTAAGCTAGCACTCCTTCCTTCAAATCTTTACTTTCATGGAGATAGCCACCGGTTGAATTGAAATCAAATTATAGAATTGAAAGTAAAAGTAGTCAAACTGAATTTTTAGTACAAGAAATTACAATTTCAAAGCACATTAATTAAGTTTCAAACAATTAAACTCAGTTTAGTGAAATAAATTTTTAAACCAGTGCATTTAATTTCACATAATACAAATACAGATTCAGTTCGAGCAATTCAAATTCAGTTTCTGATGGAACAAATTTCTGCCCACACACCGGCTCTTTGCAATTCAGAGGTGAATTCAGCAGAGTTAGAAAATGCTTTTTAATTTTGTTTTTAGTTTGTTTAGTTTTGCCGTATAAATCTATGAATCTTTTAAGGAGACATATCATACTTTTAAATCCTTCTTTTTCACATTTAAATCACTCAGTRGGGGGTCTATATAAAGTGGAACAGAATTTTTTTTTTCTTTATTTTATCTCCACAAGTCCCTAGTTTGATAGAGATATCACAATATAGCATCACAGAAACCATTAAAATTATTTAAAAGATGTCAACAATAGAAGACTTGTCCTTCCAGCCTTACATGTTGGAGACAGAGTCTGACCCAGAGCGTGAAGACAATGAAGATGACCAAATTGGTTAAATGAGAAGTCCAGACCTTATCTAGAAGTTCTGATGCAAATATTGTGACATAATAGCTCAGAAAACGTGGAGAATAGAGAAAACTAAACAAGTTGAAAATATGACCCAAACAGAATATAAACATATCTATGCGGCACCAGGAGAGACTAAATTTAAATCGTCTGCACTCCTAGAGATTCCAAGTACACAACAAAATGGATTTAATGGCTAAAAAAGTGGATTTTGCATGATATGTYCTCTTTAAGCAAATCATCATTTACATGTAAAGACCATGCGCCAAGATTTGACCAAAACAATTACAACTCTGGCATAAAAGGTGGCAGGAGATACATGCATTCACGGAATGCTTGCCCTTTAATTTTGCTTTTGTTTTGTTTAAAAGGTTTCAACAAAAACAACTCTATATGACCAAATCCTATGCATTTAGAACATTTATATTTTGTTTTTAATTTAGATTTGTTTACTGTTTAAATTATAGCAATAAAAAACAATGATCTTCTTACACTGTTAGGTATTTGACTCAGAAAATAAATCACCTCTTGTTCTCCAGCAGAGGCATGGGTCAGGTTGTCCCTGTCCTTGAACCGGCCACGCAATGGATAAACTTGAATTCATACTTGACCTGCCTCACTTTCCACTCATGTACGGAACTTATGAGCACAAGTCATAGAGACGTAGCACAGATATAGCTTTTTTCCATCGCAACAACCATCAACCAGGTTGTTATTAGCATCACTACCCCTCTTGTGCTCCGCAACACAAAAGGGTAAATACAGATCAAGTATGAGCCCAGAGATAGAGGTTCAAGTCTGTATATGAACTTTAAAGTGATGTAAACTGCAATGTGTKTCTTCATTTAAAAGAAATATGTGTGAATTAATATGTTTATTTTAAATAAGACAAACATGTTAAATAAGACATTACACGAACTACACGGGGTTACAGTTGGTGGAGCTATTCAACTGGATCGAATCCCAGCCGGGGTTGTTCAGGATGGGTTTTCTGCAGGTACTCAGGTTTCTTCCCCCAACCAGAAACAAACTTGTTATTGGTAACTCTAAAATGTGAGTGAGAGTGTGAGTGGTTGTTTGTCTCTGTGTCTTTGTGATGGATTTGCCATTTGTCCAGGATGTCCCTCACACAGTGACTGCTGGACATTGGCACCGGTGACCCCCGTGACCTGTAAAGTAAGAAATGGGAGAAAATGGATGGATGAAATTGCAAACATGTAAATGTATAATCATTACTTACTGTTACATAAAATATTAAAATTTGCACTCATCCGGTTTTCAGCACAACCATGTAAGAGGAATAAAAACATATGCATATGTGAATTTATTTCTGTGAAAGGTGCTATATAAATAAAACTTTACTTACTAACTTACTTACTTACTTACTTACTTACTTACTTACTTAC